AAACTGAATGGCACTTTATCTTTAAGGTGGTCCCTGAAGACTAATTCTCCTATAAGCTGAGTAGCCTCTTTCATCTCTAGTCCCCAGCACTACCCCCCTCCTGCCTACTTAATTCCCATCATCCCACTCCTACCTATTTCTTCAGAACCCCCTTATTTGCCTCTTTCTTTATCAAGGGGCCAGGTATCAGGAATGAAGAGGTGGGGCTCTCAGATTACAAAGGGCAGTAAGTCAGAGGAGTGACTTCATCCTGGTCTCCTTAGATCAGATTGGGCCCTTGGCAGGAGCCTTAAAGTCAAATGGTCAGAGCACCAGGGCAAGGGTGGCTCTGGGAAAGGTACCGCTCCGAATAGATTTGTGCTGAGGGGAGAGGGCCGAAAGGCAGGGAGGATGACAGGGAGGCTTTGCTGATGCAGCACTTGGGATCTGGCTTTCAAACCCAAGTTGTCCTTTGTCTCTGAACACATGGGACTTTCCCAGCCTTGTGCTCCCTGGGGGTTTTGGAGAGGCATTGCTCTGGTGTAGGTCAGGGAAAGCCCTGCCTTCCCTGTAATGCGAGGAGGAAGGTAGGACCATGGACAGCACCTACCCAGAGAATGCCAGGCATCGCAGTAAGGGTGGAGGAAAGGGCAGGGTAGGATTCCTCAGCAAATGGTTGGCACTTTGGAGACCGGTTAACTTGTTCGGTATGTGCAGAAGCGGTGGGATGGGGGAGGGTGACTCATTCCCACTCTGCCTGGCACAATAAGATTTGAATAAATTTCCAGAAGCAGTCCTGGCCTCTTTTCGATGCCAAGCCACATAATCCAAAAGGGTTTGGAAGAGGGATCTAGATTGGTAGCAAGGCCAAGCATACACTGGTATCTGGTGTCTGAGTCTGGAGCTCACAGTCAGGAAATTCTTCCTGTAACCTTATTGTGGATGCTTAATTCTATATCATCCTTTACTGTGTGTCTCCTCCTTGATAAAATCCCCTAAGCTTCCTAGCACCAGGCATATTGTCTTATGTTTCTTTTCATCCCCCATTGTACCGAGCACAACACTAACCATATAATAATGACTGACATTTAAGGCTTGCGTCTCAATCGATCCTCATCACAACCCTATGGAGTAAGTTCATTTTACTGATGGGGAAACAGGTACTCAGAGAGGTTAAGGGACTTGTCAAGGGTCACATAACTACTAAGAATCTGAGGTGGAATTTGAACCCAGGTCTTCCAACTACAGATTCATTGGTCTTTTCACTATATTGTGTTGTCTCTCATAGGTACTCAGTAAATAGTTTTAATTTAGATTAATCAAAGAGAGGCCCAATGGCATAATAATAGAAAGATTTGGTTCTCTAAGGAGCCACCCCAAGCCAGTAACTCCCCACCCACTCCAACTGTTAGTGCTCATGGGAATTATGTTGTATTTGCTTATTTGTGTAGATGTATCTTCCAAATCGAATGTAAACATCTCGAGGGTACAGACCTTTTTCCTTTTTTGTCTTTGTAATTCCAGCATATAATACAGCCTTGAGTATAATAGACACTAACAAATGTTAAATTGAACTAAATTGTGACCTGGAGAATATGACTTCTTTTAGCTTAGCCTCAGTTTCCCCATCTGTAAAATAGGAAGTGGGGTAGAATATACAATATTCAAGACCACTTCTAGCTCTAAAAAAAACTTTTTTCCTATTCTGTGACTCAAAATCTCTGAGTTGCTAGGTTCTGGTCATGTCAGGTATTGAGATCCCCAGAGAAACAGCCCATAAATCTGGCTATACCTTTTCCATATTGCCAGGTCCTTGCCCCCAGCTGTATCAGCAGACATAGAGCCAAGTGGTGAAAGGGATGTTTCTTTCACTGGGATGATGGCTCTCTTACAGTCCTGTCTCTCTGGGTTCCTTCCTTCCACAGACTATTAGATGACTTGTCTTCCTAGCCTTCTGGGTGATTTGATTGGGAGTGCTAACCTCCAGAGCCCTTGGCTATGTCAGCTTTATGGAAATGGAAAAGAAAGGGGGAGTGAAAGAGGGATGTAGCAAGGCAGATGGAAGAGGTACTTCAGAGTTCACAGCTTGGGGTGGGGAGAGAGAAGACACCTGAAACTCTTTTTCAGGCTCCCCAGGAGAGCTAGACTCGACCTGCTGGCTTTGATACCCTTGCACAGAAAACAGAATGGTACAGAGCTTCATCTGCTGTTGTGGGGAATTCAGATTATAGTCCAACATTTATTAAGTACCTACCATGTGCAGGGCACATTTCTAGGGTGTTTCAAGGTTTACAAAATGGGCTTTCCCCTCACAAAATACTTGTGAAACTCATAGATATCAAATGATTTATCCAGAGTCATGCAGTGTCAAAACCAAGATTTGAACTCAAAGGAGACACCTTGGTATAGGATGTGGAACCCATTGACTTTAGAACATTGACTGATACATGTGCTGTGCAACTCGGGGAAAAGACTACATTTCTCTGGGTCTCAGTTTGGTGGCTTAGTCATTTTAGTTGTGTCCAATTCTCCACGATCCCATTTGCCAAAGATACTAGAGTGCTTTGCCATTTGCTTCTCCAGCTCATTTTACAGATGAGGAAACTGAGGCAAACTGGTTTAAGTGACTTGCCCACAGTCACACAGCTAACAAGATTCTGAGGCCAGATTTGAACTCAGGAAGATGAGCCTTCTTAACTCTAGGCCCAATATTCTATTCACTGTACCACCTAGCTGTCTCCTGGGCCTCAGTTTACTCATCTATAATATGAGGGATTGGGACTCAATGATCTCTTAGGTACTTTCTGATCCTTAAATTCTTCTATGTCCATTTTATATATAAGAAAATGAGACACTTAATAATAGTATACTTTAGGGTTTACAAAATGACTTCTCAGCAATTCGGTGAATTAGGTAGAATATATTGTTATTGTTATTTATTATTATTTCCATTTTACACAAGAGGAAACTGAGGCTTAGAAAAGATCAGTGAGCTAGTAAATGTTGGAGCCAAGATTTGAATTTATGTTTCCTGACACCAAGCCCAGGGCTTATTCCACTATTTAAGTCATTTTTCAGTCATGTCCAACTCTTTGTGACCCCATTTGGGGTTTTCTTGGCAAAGATACTGGAGTGGTTTGCCATACATACAAATATATGTATATATATGACAGAGGTGTCAGACACATAGCCTGCAGGCTGCATGTAGCCCATAACACTCCCCAGTGCAGTTTGAACCGGATTAAAATGCAACTGGGAAATATTTAGCAAAATAAATAAAAATACAATAAACATAGATAATATTACATTTTGAAATTAAGTTAATATATGACCCACAGGGACCATGATGTATGGATTAGTGGCTCCTGTTTCTATCTGAGTTTGAAACCACTGCTGTTTATTAGGCCAGACCCCTTCCTTCAGAGGGAGGAGGAGGGACCTAAATAGAAGTAGCTAGAGAATGAATGAATCTATGGGTATAGCCCCTGATACAGAAGCTCTTCTTTTTTTTAAAGTTTATAATTTTTATTTAAACATTTTTTAACATTCATTTTTAAAAATTTTGAGTTCCAAATTCTCTCCTTCCTTCCAGCCCCTTCCCCACCTATTGAGAAGACAAAGCAATATTATTCCCATTATACATATGACACCATTCTTCCAACCTATGTTTACCCTTGTCTGGCCTATTCATGATTAGTGTATTAAAACATGCCTAGGCTCTTCTCACTCTGCATTTCTATGTTTGTAAAAGTCTTTAGCTTCTCCTTTTCTGCCTCAGTATAAAACCTCACAGATCCTAACTTCCATGGGCCACTCACTGTCTACAATTCTGGATAGAGTGAATTTCCAGGTATGTAGCTTCATTTTCCAGAATCAGGACAAGGCTGAGACCAGGGGTAGCAGTGAAATGGAAATACATCTCTCTTTGTATCCATGTGTGTGTGTGTGTGTGTGTGTGTGTGTGTGAATGCTGCACCAATAGTTTGTGTGCTGTTAATAAACATTTTAGTTAGGGTAGAGGTGGCTGTGGTTAGCATTTCTGTTCCTTAAGCTCTGGAACCTAATTCATCAACTTGGCTGCTAGAAGCCCTTGAAAGGTCTTCGAGAGATCAACCCCAAAGTCACACATTGTCTAAAGGCTTCCCATCAGCGTTCTACTTCCTCCAGTGTTTACTGATTCAATGAAGGGCATTATAGAATGTTTTCAAGGTCCTCAATAGCTCCATCACATATTGAACTTAGATAGTCCCATCAGCTAACCTCTCTAAAATACCCACTCAGCTTATGTTCCCTACCTGTAATGATCCTCCTTTTCTACCTGTTCAAATAATACCCATTTTCCAAGGTTGGTCTCCAGTTCATCTCCTCCCTGAAGCCTTCTAAGACCCTCCAGATGCAACCAACTCTCCCTCTTCTGAACTCCTGCCCCACAATTGGCACTAACCATTTTGGTCTTATGTTATTTAAAAATATTTCATGGGATCCTAGAGTCTAAAGCTGGAGGGGACCAGAGAAGTGATCAAATCCACCCTCCTCATTTCAGAGATGAGAAACCTGAGGGCCATAGACCAGAAGCCCCAGATACCCCATCTCCTAAGTAGCTGCTCTGGAAATCAGGTTTAGGTCCCCTTTGCCTCTTCTGTGGCTCAACTAGACTGGAAGGTCCTTAAAGGCAAGGACTGCATCTCTTAACTCCTGGTTATACTATATAGGAAGTATTCAGTCTCTGTAGCCTCCTTTCTCTTTCCATGCAAATATCACCTAAGCAGCTCCTGCCTTGCTGAAGGGCTATTGATTTTGCAATTAAGAAAGCCTGAACTGAGGGAGGGAATCTTTTTCTGATGTTTTGGTTTGAGGGTCCAGAATTTCAACCTTGGTAACATCCTAGATGTAGAATGGCCAGGATAGAGATGGGCAGGAAGAAAAAATTGGGAAGGGACATTCCACATCCTTATGATTGTCTGATGTCTCTCTTTCCCTCTCTGCCTACCCATGCCCCTTGTCCATTTTTCTTTCTGTAGCGCGTGAGCTGTGGTTACATCCTGTGCACCGTACTGCTGTCTGTCGCTGTGCTGCTGGCTGTAACAGTCACCGGTGCCATCCTCTTCATGAACCACTATCACACACCAGTAACTGAGCCCCCGCCAGTCATCAGCACCAACCCTGATGAAGACAACAGTGCCCTGGTTACCATTGAGAAGGCGGACAGCTCCCGAATCAACATCTTCATTGACCCACGATGCCCAGACCACACAGACAACTTTGCCCGCCTAGAGGGTGCCCAGGCCTCTGTGCTTCGGGCCCTCACAGACCGTGAAACTGAGTTCAGGGCTGCTGGTGGTCGAGAACAGGCCTTGCTGGCCACCCTGGCTGACGAGGTCCCCAAACTTCTGGCCCAGGCCACAGAGCTCCAGGAGGACTGTGAGGGCCTCAAGAGGGGTCATGGCACTCTGGGCCAGGGGCTCAATGCTCTGCAGAACGAACAGGGCCGACTCATTCAGGTAAGAGGGGAAGCCTCCCTGCACAAATCATCTTCTAGGGGAGGCAGGAATGGTCTTGGTGCCGCCATTCAGTGACCTACAGCATCATGGAATGTTATAGCTCAAGGAACCTTAGCAAAACAGATGATTCACTGTGTCGAACTGACCATGTCACTTTCCATCTCCAGTCCTGGTTTTTCACCTCTGTAAAATAAAGGATTCAGACCTCCAATGTCCCTTCTAGATATAAAATTCTTCTGTACCCACTGTATGGATGGAAAGGAAGGAAAGATGCATTTATTAAGCACTCACGGTGTGCCAGGCACTGTGCTAAGAGATTTCCAAATATTATCTCATTTGATCCTCACAACAACCCTGGGATGCAGGTGCTGTTATTATCCCTATATTGCAGTTGAGGAAACCGAGGCAAATGGGTTAAGTGACTTGTCCAGGGTCACATAGCCAGTAAGTGTCTAAAGCTGGATTTGAACTCAAGATCCAATACCCTATCTACTGTTCTACCTAGCTGCTTCAAGTAGAAGACACTGAATCCAGGCCTTCTGGTACCCAGTCTGGTGTTCTTTCCACTGTATCATATTGTCTCTTAGGCCACTGGATTCTGGTGACTCAGAAGCCTTGTAAGGTCATAAGGTACTTGCCCCCTCACTATACTATAGCTGCACTGAAGCTGTTCTGTCCATTTTCTTACCCCTCCATCCCTTGTGCAAGACAGAAATGGTACATGAGGATATCTCATTACCCAACAATTTGTGGGCAATGAACTTTTTTTCTCTCTGTAAGAAAGTTGCAACTGGAGAAATGATGCTCATTATCCCCCTGCCTGGAGTGGCTGATAAGGGTGATGGAGATCCAGTCTCTGAGAATGCTCAGAGATTCTTAGCAGGAATCTCCACCTATCACCAGCTCCCTTGAACTCTGAGCAGGTCATGTGGCCTGAAATATGCATAATAACTGAGCAACCAAGGCGTGTGAAGTGGTCCATTCACTGGCCCTAGTCAATGATTCTAAGCTGTTTCCCTTTATGAAAATAGGTGTGCTTTGCCTTACACATTAATTATGCTCCTCAAAAAAGTCATAGTTTGTTTGGTAAATCAGATCCTATTTTCCCTATTGACTCATATTCTGATCTCAAAGATGCTTTATCTTTATTTCTGGTGGACTGTCAGTTGGCAGTGGCTCTTAATGTTCTGAATCCTTTTATAATGTAAGTAATCACTCCCCGGTGTTTTCAATTCTGCAAGTTTGAATTTTCTTTCATGGACTTCCTTAAAGGGGACACACTTGAATTGTCAACCTATGTTTTCATGTCCCTGACAGCATATCACTATTTTCAACCAAAATGGTGTAATTGATTCTCAAACTAATTAGAGTCATGTTTATACTATTAGTGTCAACTACAGTAATTTGTTAGTTTAAACTGAGATCTCACTAATTTTGGTGTTGGCAACTTCTTAAAGAAGAAACAATAATATTTTGTAATATTTTATTCATTTGAAGAAAAGGGAAGTGGGGGGGAGGGGGAGGGAATAAGCATTTGTTAAGCACGTACTGTGTTCTAGGCACTGTGTTAAATACTTTCCAGATATTATCTCATTTGATCCTCACAATAACCATGAAAGGTAGGTGATATTATTATCCCTAAAATACAGTTGAGGAAACTGAAGCAAACAAAGGTTAAGTGACTTGCCTATGATCACATAGCTAGTAAGCTGAATGAGGCTGGATTTAAACTCAGGACTTCCTAACTCCAGGACCAGCACTCTATCCACTGCACCACTGAGCTGAATAATATACATATTTTTTTCACTTGATACAAGATTTTATACCAACCTAATCTATACTTGTTTAAAACATTTTTAACTACTTATTTTCAATACTTTATCAGTATGGATGCTTCTTCCCTTGATGAAGACCGCAGCCCCTCTTCTACCCTAGTAGATGGTCATTGTGGGTTGCTGTAGTGAAAAACACTCATCAGTTCTTGGCCAGCCTTCTGGTGGTGAGCCTCACCACCCTTGGCTAGGCGTGTCCTGGAATGATAGACAACAAGGTTCACACTCAACCTTTTCCAACTTACTACCAGAACTTCCACCACCCCACTGGCATAGTCTTCAAAAGCTCTAATGCATTGGAGACTTCAGTAATATCCTTATTATTTTATTTAATTTATACAAATTGATGTGATAGGGAGACCAAATTAGTATCATCTCCAAAAGACCCTCATCCTAACATACATAAGAACTTGAAGGGGAGTCTCTGAGGTATTTCCAAAGCCTTCTGCCATTCACACATCAATATAACTAATATATCAGAGTAAAGAAAGGGGAATCTGGCCTTGAGAGAATAAGTATGACAGGGAAGGGAGTAGAGGAGGAGGAATGAGGAATGAAGTAAGGAAGCAGAAAGTAGGAGGGAGGAGTTCATGGAATTGAGACAAAGTTGGGCACCAAGAGGCATAAGTAGGAGTTCCCAGTTGAGGGATCTATGGTTTGGACAGTAGGACAGAGGTGGGGGGGGCAAAAGGTTATGGGATGGTGTGGATTAGAGTATGTAGAGT